TTCCACTTCTGCGAATATACCCAATAAATGGGCGGACGTACGTTTACCACAATGGTAGCTTAATTCATAATAGTCCCAAGTTAGAAATACCAGTAGAATGGATGAAACGATATAATGAAATACTACTCAGCAATGTAAAGGAAAGAACTACTGTTAACGTGCAGCAACGTGGATGAATCTCATAGGCACAATGATGGGTAAGAAGCCAGACACCAAAGATTCGTGTATATGAAGTTCAATAACAGGCAAAGTGAACCTAGGGTGGTAGAGGTAAAAACAGTGGCTGCCTCTGGGGGTGGTGATGGCTGGAAGGGGGTTGAGGGGGCCTTCTAGAGTGCCTGCAGTGCCTGTGTCCTCATCTGTGGGTGATCAGGGACATACACAGATGTAAAAATTCATTGATTTGTACACTTCAGATTTATTTATTTTATTGTTTTTATATTATGGTTCCAAAAAAGTGGAAGTGTGCACAAAAGCAAGTCATTCTTATACATAAGCCAGATCTCAACTTGCTAGATTTAAAACTGATGTTTGTCAGCACCCAGCTTCCTGAAAGCTCATGAAGGAAAAAACAGGAGTCTGTCAAGAATTCTCCCACTGCTTCCTGTCTGTCCGATGTCTGGGGGCTGCGAGCCCTGGAAAGTGCAGCTGGGTGACAGCTGCCGCGTTGGTGGTTACAGGAGACAGGTGTGGTGTGGACGTGTGAGGACAACAGGACAGACAGAAGATCCGTGTGGCGCCCGTGGCACGGGCAGGGCTGGGGGCAGCTGGGGAGCGACCCTGGGATGAAGGCACAGTGCCTGGGTGGGAGGAGGCTGTGACCAGGCCTCCGGGGAGGCTGTAGGTGGCACTGGGGTGAGAGGCCAGGGCCAGCTGAGGCACAGTGACATGGTGGGGACCACGTGGCAGCGGGCACTCCGACTGACCTCTCTGGGCTTCAACACCTTGCTTGGATGTACTACCACAACCACTTCAAGCTCAACAAATCCCAAACGAAACTCACTCTCTCTGAAAATGAGGTCTTCCCAACTCACTCATTCCTTTTGTTGGTAACCCCATTCTCATGTTTACTTGCATTTGGCTATCTGGAAATTATCTTTGATTCCTCTCCCCCTTTCCTCAATAGTGTTTGAGCCTTTCCATTGTGTCTACAATCCATTCATGCATTTGTTTACTATCCAAAAACTTAAGCCCTCTATGGACATAACAAGAGTATTTTTTATTTACCACCTGCTTTGCACTGGACTCTATGCTAAATACTTTAAATGTATTGTTTTACTTAATATTTGCAAAAATTAAAACACAAAACAGGTAAAATACATTTCCACAAATAAGCAAACTGAGACGTGGCCAGGCTAAAGGCCTTGTCCAAGGCCCCAAATGACAGAGCTGGGTTTGAAATCTGGTGCTGCCCAACTTCGGCAATGCTCCTGTGCATTTCTCCGGTGTGTGCTCACTCCCCCTGAGCAGCCTTAGGCTTGCAAAGCGCCTTTCATGGACATGGCCCTCGAACAATTAAGCATTACTCAGTAATGCAATTACTAGCAAAAGTAAAGCAATAATTGGCATTACTCAGACACCATGACTAGCCAGAAGTTAGCAGAGTTTATGACTAAAGAAGATCTATCTGCTATCACTGAGAGAAATATACCAGTCACAGAGAAGGAGCAGCACCGAGTAATGCCCAGCTGCCTCTAGAATGCTGTTGGCAGAGAGGATCACCCTCAGGGCCGCTGGGCTTAGTCTTGACCGTCTCCCTGACAGGGGGCTTCTGTGTGCTGCCCAGTGAGTGGGGTGGGGGCGGTAGGAGGAAAGGAACACCGGGAGAGCTATTTAACGCAGGTCCGTATTCTAATTCTGTGCCCTGGGAAATGCCATCTCATCCGTCCAGGGGAGTGACAGACATCTCAGTGTGCCCTTAGATGGGACGGTCACAACTGTGCTGAAAAACAACTGTCACTCACAGTCCTAAATACCTGTGTTCAGCACGCGCTTCTGAACACTGCCCACACTTCCATAATCACGGCGTTGCCTGGCTGTGGCCTTGTGGGGGTCATAAAACCCGACTTGCAAATATTACCAGGCACATGGACCAGCTGTGCGGAGGAGCTGCTTAATCCCCAGCAGAAACTTCAGCATGCAGCACGCATGCCATCTGCAGAGCACACCAGCAGACACACACCAGGACCTTCCTGCCTTGTAAAGAGGCCAGGGCAGGGCAGACCCTGGGGACGCATTTTATAAACAACTGAGTTGTCGCAGAGCCGGAAAATGAAGCTCTTTCCAACTCCCTCACACAGGCACTGTAGGAGGTGCCCCTTAAAAACTTTTCCATAAAATAAAGGGAGAAAGGGACTTAGGACTAATCTCATAATTTCCTGTTCTTTTAATCACTGTCTGGATGAGAGGCAGTCAACATAGCATAAGAGAGTAGATGCAATACAGCTAGCTATGCCCAGATGCAAATCCCGCCTCCGCCCTTTTATGAGCTGTGTGCCTTTGTATGAGTTACTTAACCCCCTGAGTCTATTTCTATTGCCTCCTCCCCACTCCTCACATTTTCCCACTCAGGCCTGGCACCGCGCAGGTATTCCATAAATGTCCCTGCTCCTTCCTCTCCCTCTGCTGTAGGACAGCATTTTTTTAATTCTTCTGGCAAGTCGTGGGGCCTCCAGCCTTCATTCCCCCGCCCCCAGTTCAATTCTCCAGTTCATTGATTTCTTACCTATCTCTTTCCAGTGTTTGGCATGGATCTGAAGATATTTTCAAAGGGAAGAGAGAAGAGAAAATAATTTTAAGGCAGAAGGGTGGGATACTCTTTTAGGAAATTAAGCGATGGAAACACGGTCCAAAGGGTGTGAGGCCGATCCTTGGAGGGCATCAGGACAGCATCTGGGAAAGTGATGGTGGAGGTAAGGAAGCCACCAGAAGAAAGGCAATCAGGACAGCTAACCAAAGAAGTCAGGACTGATGGCCAAGGCCGAGGGCGGCCACCCAGCCCTCTTCCACAGCAGCAGTGTGCGTGAGGGGAACCAGTGAGGGGCTCCTGGCACACCTTCCCCTGGGCGTTAATCACCCAGGGCCGCAGCCAGGGGGACCTCACTGCATGAACTAAATAGCCAGACCCTGGCAACAGCATCCCTGCCAGCATCCTCGGGCTTTGGGCCCTACCCTTCGCATTTATTGATAGTTCCAGGCTGTTAAGCACAAATTCTATAGGATCCCAAGTCCAGGAGAAGGGGAGAAGCAAATCCTCAGCCAGTCCCTCCAGCACCAGGAAGGAATGCTTACAGAACCAAGCGCCAAGGTCGACTCCATTCTCACCACTTCCTAAATCAAGTATTCATGTCTCACAGCCTTCACTCACTCTGCTCTGCTCTCCGTCCAGGTGGAGAGTTGAGATCTGACAGGTTTGCCCCGGGGTTACCTCTTTCATTTAAGGCCAGGTTTCAGGTCCAGTGGCACTTCAGACCCCCTCAGCTCACCTTGACTCAAAATCACATCCACATTTCTCTCCGGACTGCCAGGGCCAACCAAAGCGGCCCGTGTGCCTTTGATTAGCGATGCAGCATGCCATCTGGCCCCGCGCTGGCGTGTGCATGTGTAATGCGTGGGCATGCTTGCTGTGTGGGCATTTGGCTCTAGGACAAGAACTACCACGTGTTGGGGAAATTCAAATAGCCAAGCTGTCTGACCGACGTAATTCTGCATTTGGATGGTATCTGCATGAGCCAGGATTTCAGTTTAACATTTTGCCTCATCACTTGAGACTGCTGAGAATGATAAAAGCAGGGAAGAATTGGCATGGCATGAAAGAATTAAAAAAAAATAAATAAGAATAAGAATTCCAGAGGTGGCCTTTGTGAAATCCAGTAGAAAGCACTGCCGTGTAATATATTCCAGTCACTGCTCAGCCTTGCTCAGAATAACCAGGCTTTGGTTAAAAACAACAACAGTGAAGCCCTTCCTTCAGACACAAGCATTGTGTTCTATGTGAGGAGTTTACATTGAATTTGTCAACAGCACATTTACCCCCACACTTTTACCCACTGACCACTACGTGAAGATCTAGGAGAACAGAAGTTAACACTGGCACCCGCTCCCTGGGGTCTGGTGTTCTAACAGCGCCTGAAAGCTGCCCCACTGGAGTGCCTGCTGGATGGGATATATTTTTTCCTAGAGGCTAATTCTACAAATCTTTGGAGGAGATGGGGTAAAGTAGATGATTAGAGGAGGTGATTTTCAATTAAGTATGTTCTCTTCTCCCTCTAAATCCCCTTTTCACTCTTCTCCTGCTCTGGACCTATCTGTACTCATCAATGGGCTCCTTTGACCTCTGGCTTCTGGTTGGGTTCGGCAGGAGAACTGGAGGAGGGCTGAAGGGTGAGCTTGGTTATGAGTCCTCCAGATCCGCCCTGCGGCCTTGCTCTGATGAAGGTGGCCTCTCAGCACGGCTGGGCCCTTAGTTCTGGTGCATGCCACCCCCATCCCTTTGCCTTCAGGCCTTGGGCCCACTGCTGTCACTAGCTCTGGGATACCCATCATGCCCTACTGGTTTTCCTAAACCCTGCCCATACCTTTGTAAATAATTCCTTTATTAAATTATCCAATGAGCTTGTTTTCTGTTTTTTGCTGAGATTCTGATGGAGTGACGAGCCATTTCTTCACTAATCTACTGGCCTTCCACACCCTCCTTCTCCGAAAGCAAAGTGTCCCAGGCCTGGATGCTGTGAGGGAGGGTGGCACGGACCAGGAGGACCATGTCAGTGAACACTCACTCATCAAGAAAGGAGTATCTCATCCATCTACTGAAACCCACTACAGTCTCCCACCTGCTGAGTTGTCAGGTTCCTGCCAGGTCAAGAAGAAAGAAGCCTGTCTGTAGAATGACATTTCAAATATTTTCTGAAGGAAGGAAAGGAAAGGAGGGAGGAAGAGTTGTGCAGTAAATAACTGTTTTCAAGGATGTGATCGCGAGCCATTGTCATTCAAGTGCCTACCTTGTCTGGCTGTGTACTCATTGTCTTCGATCAATCTGGCCAATCCAAAGTCAGCGATCTTGCATATTAATCCATTCCCCACTAGAATATTTGCTGATCGCAGATCTCTGTGGATATAATTCATGCGCTCAATGTAAGCCATTCCTGCCGCAACCTGTGGAAATCAAGGGAACAGAACACGTTACACATTGGCTTGATATATTACATGTTATTGTATCTAAGGCAGGAATCGAGGAATCGAGGCAGTACCACGAGGCCTACCTGTGCTGCCATGTCCACAAGATTAGGTAATTTCAGAGCTCTTCCTTCTCCATCTTTTAAGAAATCAAGTAAACTCCCTATGAACAAAACAGAAAACCATTTCAATTTACTTTGAAAGATAAAAATTTCCAACAGAGGGCTGTATTTGGTTTTCCTATTAGAAGTAATGAGGTAACTGAACTAATTAATGCCATCAATGCAAAAGAAAGGGTTATACCAAAAACCCAGAAAAAACTATGTAGTGAAAGGCAGCAGAAACTTTTAAAAGTAAACAATGGTGATGTCATTTCCAAGGACAACAAAAATTTGATAAAACTAGAAAAAATGGGACTCAATCCCCTTTTTCTGTCATAAAGAACACGTAGAGCGCTGCATCACCTCCCTCTCGGTCCCCGACGGGCCCTGCAGAGAGGAGTGAGGTGGGGGAATAGCACCCAGCCTAGTGCTTCCTGAAATGTGGTCCTGGGACCAGCAGAACAGCATCCCTCAGGGAACTTGACAGAAATGCAAATCCTCAGGTCCCACCCCAGATCTACTGAATCAGAAACTCTGGAGGTTAGGCCCAGGAAGCTGTATTTTAAGAAGCCTTCTAAGTGATCCTGACACATAGTAAATTTTGAGAATCACTGGCCTAGCTTATTTACAGATTTTAAATCAAGAAGAGATGTCAAATAAAAGAAAAGACTATCTGGAAGATAGAGGATGAGGCAAGAAGCTCATGGCCAGCCAGGCCTTCGTGGCCCCTGTGTCAGCACAGCTGGGGCTTCGGCGCCGCCTCGATAACACGGCCTGAGGAGCTCAGAACTGACACCAGAGCTCAGAGAGCCACATGTAGAGGCTGAAGGCTCTTAACGGTCAAGGTGATTTTTTTTCATGCTTTAATCACAAAGTTATTTACCAAATAACCCTGGATACAAAGGACAAACAATCTGCCAGGAAAAAATAAAATTCCAAATATGTTTTAAAAGTACACAGAAAGGAAAAATTACACTGTAATCCTCTGAGGTACAATGCATTGCCTTTAAAGGACATTTCTTGTTTGGTTCATCTATTTTTCCAAAACAAAGTGATCTTTGGCCTTATCCCCAACAATATTGCTTTGATTAGAAGACAGAGAGAGACAGAGCCACACACTGAGAATGAGAATAAAATGTGCTCTTTAAAAGCATGTCTTTCTTCATTTGATGTTTAAAAAGAGAGCTGAAAAAAAAAATAAAAAGAGATGTTAAAAAGATGGAGACTACATAGCCCAGGGACCAGTGTCTGATATTAATTGTTCAGCCTTGCAAAAAGGAAATTTAACACAAGCTATGGCATTTAAAATAACAGCAAACTCATAGCCTTCTGTATCACGCTGATAATAAAAATGAATGTTTTCATTCTGGAGAGAAGCTGGAACTCTTCATGTGCAGCATGCAAATGGTAGTGGTATCACAAGTACTTAGGGGGCAAACTGGAGGTCATAGTCTGTTTTAAAATGTTTTCATTAATGAGCACACAATTTGTGCTTCCTGATGGCAATGCTCGACTCGTGCAGAAACCAGGAGAAAAAGCTAGCAGGCAACCCCGTTCCTCTCCCTGAAACAACCCTCAGGTCACTGTGAGGTGAGGCCCGGGGAGGCCTTGCCCCACCTTTGTTCATATACTCGGTGACAATGTAGATGGGTTCCTCGGACACCACCGCATACAGCTGGACCAGCTTGTCATGCTTCAACTTCTTCATGATCTGTGCTTCCTCAAGGAACGATTCGGGGGACATTGTGCCTGGTTTAAGAGTCTTTATGGCTACTTTTGTGTTTCCATTCCAGGTACCTGCAGACATCCCACAATAGTAAGTCAAACCAAGGGTCCTCTTTTGGAGGCAAAAAAAAGTTTTTTAATCAACAGCTATTTGCATAAAGTTAGATTTTAAGTTAAAAACTTACTATAGTTTTTGTTGAACAAAGGCAATCAAATGTAAGGACTCTATCAAGTATTTCAACAGGAAAAATAGGTTTCATTATTTATGGCTATATTATAGCTTATAATTTAACTTTTTCCTCATTTTGATATATAGCACTTTCCTTTTCTGGTTCAGCCATGTGATTACAAATTTGTACCAAAATGAAAAGAAATTACAAATTTCTTTATAAAAATGTAAGTCCAGGAGTTAGATCAAGCCTGGCCATCCAATATCTATGCATTAGGCAGTAGAGTGAGCATGGAAGAATTTAAATTAAGTTCCATTTTATGGGCTATGCCATTAAAAAAATATGGCAACACACTGAGGATGTCTGGAAATTATATCTCTAGACTTTCAATTGTCTGCAATGGATGAGCTATCTCAATACTTGACTGAGTCCTTCAACAGTTGATCTATAAGTAAGATTATAATTAGTGATAAGCACTAGCAAGAAGCTCACAGTCTACTTGCCCATACTTCAACCAGATAAGAAAAATTCCTCAGGCTTACTGATGGTCAGCCACAACAAGAGCCATGACCTCTATCAGCTAGGCTGGAAAAATGAGACAACGGCTAAGAGGGAACAGAAATATTTAAACTTAACATGTTAAAATAATCTAGTAGGTCCTAGTTTATGATCATCAGTTACCTCATCTGTAAAATACTGAAATGAAACTGGATTATCTTTTGAGTCTCTTTCAGCTCCCAAGTTAAAAAAAGTAGGTTGTATGTGTGTTACCATTACCAGTCTTAGGACTTTGAATTAAAGCTATTTATAAGGGAAACAAAAAAATCTGCTAAACTAGATTGTTATTTTCTACTTGGAAAAGGCTGGATTCAATTAAGATTAATTTTTATATTTAATATGATTGATTTTATAATAAAAAATTCTATAATTGAAGAAAGCTTCATTACCCTGTTAAAATCATTGACATGTAACCTACAAAAATATGAATCATGAAAGAACAAGTGGCTTAAAGAAAAATTCATCAAATCTTACAAAATATCTGACTACTAAACTTAAAGAAAATTTGACAACTTGTCAGTGGTCTCTGCTATTTAAGCGTTGTTGGCACCCCAAAATTCTAGATGGAGATCTTTTTCTTTCACAACAACCCAGTTACTTACGTTGGCCTCCCATTCTGACTCTAACTACCACAACATGAAGTTTTATGTTCAGTGGGAAACAAAGTCTTAATAATATGTGTGATGATTTGAAGTTGCTAATTTGAAAGTTTGCAAATACAGTTTTGTATAGTGCCCAATCATTCCTGATTGCATTAGTGAATGGATTAAAAATCTTAGGACCCATAATATTAATTATAAATTGGGCAGAAGGGGGAGAAGAAGGTCATATAAACATATTTGATATCACTTCAGTTAAAGTCCAGAGAAAGACGGACACAACAATGTAGACTCTGAAGGACAATAATAATGATAATACTTATTAAAATAGCAATACATGCACATATATGTGAATGACTGAGTATCTATTTATCCATCTATCTACTTTTATATCTATCTGTAACTTTGTATCTACGTAGTACTTACTCATTGCCAGGCTCTGTTAAAACTTTTAGTGCAGACTACACTTAAATACTTACAGTCACACATAACAGCAGGTATTTATCTATATTATTTTTAATTGGGTCTAAGAAATGAAGGAGGATTCCATAAGCACTAACACTGTCTTACTGACAGATATTTTTGGGTGGGACCTAAGTCTGTGGATTGTCTTTAAGCAAAGTTGCAATTGCCCCAAAAGGAGTTATAGAAACAGTGGGGAGGTCTAGTGCAGATGGCCGTATCAATGACATGACAACCAAATGAAGAGAATTATACGTGTCTACTGAGCGCCTACTATGTGCAAGGGACTCTAAACATATTGTCCCTTGTAGTCCTCAAAACGGTCCTATGAAGTAGGTATCATTCCAGTTTTACAGATGAGGAAATTGAGGCTCAAAGAGGTTAAATAAGCCCTTTGCCCATGGTCAATCAGCTAGTAAAGACTGAGCAAAAAACCCAGGCCCATTGAGCACAAAAGCTCATGGTTTCCTCCTACAGTAGCCCATCTACAGTATCTTACCTTCCCATGGCTTAGGAGGAAGAAGCACCAGGTTCCTATTGTACTGGTTTCTTGTTCTGTGCCTGCCTTAGTTAACCACATAAAGTAGGATAGAAGAGTACAGGAAGGTATTGCCATCTTCTGAAAATGTGGATGGCTTGTACCAGCTATCCAGGTTAAGTGTCTTGGTCCCAAAGGCTGTTAATGTGCTTTGTTCAAAACCATCCTTTTAATTGGCTTTGAGATGCAGCCAAAACAAAACGTGCCCTCTGCCTTACCAAGCCAAACTTCAGCGAAACACCCCTGACCCAGCTTCTTCTCCAGAGACAACGAATTGCGTGCAACTTCCCAAGCATCTTTAGCCAATCCAGAAGTTTGTGGGGTACAACTCGATGCAATCACAGTTAAGTTAAAACACAAACCATCAGCTTTCTCTACAGGAAAGAGGATTAATAAAGAAAACAAAGTCCTTATAATTCATAATCATGCATGCACTAGGAAAGATGGAAGGTGACTTGCCCGTTAGGGCGATACTGAGTTCATTGGACAAGCATTTGCAGTTGGAAATGAAGAGCAAGGCATTTGGTGCCAGCCAGAACATTCCCTGTACCATTTACTGGCTTATGAGTTCAGACACATATAATAGTATAATTTGAGCCAGTTGCCAATCTTGGCCACTTATATCTTTTTTCTAGAACTTCTAGAATTCCAAAATCAGAATCATTATTCCCCGCGATTAGTAGTTCAAACTTTCCTTTTGGTCACACAGTCTTTATTTTCACCTTCCATCTTTGATGTTTGGGACTTCCCAAACGAGGAAGCTAGTGATAGAGTAATTGAGTCTTAGCATACCCATCCATACTTCCCCAAACTGCCCATTTCCCAGTCTCTTGATCAACTGCAGGGATTCTCGAGGGATTTCCCAGACATCTTTGGTTTTGACAGACAGATCGGTAAGCCTTGGCATCCCTTTGTGACAGGGAACTACTAGGCGGCAGCAGAGACCTGCAGCTCTCTCTGATGGAGCAGGGGGCAGCAGCAAGAGAGGGAGAGAAAAGCAGAACACATGAAACAACAACACTTACAGGTGCACAAACCCGGCCAGCACACAGCATTACTCCAACAGTACTACAGTGGCAGAGAACTACACACGTCTTGGGAGATTGGACGCCACACATTGAAACATGTTTATCAAAGGCAGAATAGAGGACATTTGAAATTTGAACTACTCCACATCTTCAGGTATGCTATAATCTATTCACATAAACAGATACAGACTGTCTTGGTTTCTATACTCACTAGGTAAAAAAAAAACACCCCAAAACATTCTCAGTCCAATACGCTAATAACAGGTCCTCTGAAAATACCAAAAGTACATCTGGAATGCAGAATGTCAATATGATTGTCCTTCCCCCCCTCTAATATCAAGGGGACTATATTTAAAATTGTAACTTCAGTACAGGATCCTTCCACAGAACATTAGATTGTTACAAACTAGTAAGGATGAAGATCATACCTGGCAGGGGAATAAAGAAGCTACATTTCTCTAGCCATTTCTCCTGCATTTTAACTGACTCTATTCTACTAGCCACGTACTCCTGCTTCTTTGATATTTCCCATTAAACCATGTTTATAACAATCTCCAGTGTATAATTTAGGAGTCTGGTTTGAAAGCAGAAAGAACGAAAACTAAAATCTGTAGAAACTCGAGGATGTAAAAGAGCTCTATTTCCTAAGAGAAAGGAAAGAAGTAGTTATCACTGTGAGGTGATTTGGAGGGTTCTCTCTCTCTCTCTCTCTGTCTCTTTCCCTCTCTCGCTCTTTCTAAAGAATATGCCTTCTAGAATCTAGCAGCAGTAAGGGGAAGCTATCTAAATGCCAAGTTAAACATCAGTCAGGTGAGAAAAGGAAAAAAAAGACAAGGAATCAGGGCAGTGACGAAAGCTGCAGGAAGCCAGGCTGGGAGGTGGACAGAGCGCCGACCTACCCCACTGGGGGTCCTTCGGACCCAGGGAAATCAAACGTAGTATTGTTGCCTTTTCTCCAAGAACCAGCTGTAAGTTACTTTTTTATTCCTTTATTTTTGATAGAATTAGGTTCTGAGATGGTTAGGCAGGAAATTATTTATGAGCCAATATTTCAAAGGAATTTTATTGTGTGGGAGAAAGAAGGAGGGAAGAGGGAAAGCCAATATAAAAACAAATCTAACTTGAGATAGATTTTTTTTTTGAAATTAAAAATATGTCTGTTACTTTTCATATCCTCTCTCTCCTTCCAGCTTTATGATGTTATTAAGGTGCCCTTTCCGACACAATATTTTCAAATGATCCAAACCCCGGGGATGCTGCCGATGTTTGGCTATAATGCAATATATTTTGGCATTTGAAAAACCCTTTCAACATGCAGGCATTTTGAGTATATCATTTAAGCTCAGGGAGATATTCTACTCCATTTCTCCCAAGTATTTCATCAGAATCCACATAAACCAAAACTCCCCGGTGCCCTAATCAATAAATATTCTAAGTGTTGCTAATTTTTTCACTTGTCCATTAGTGCCAAGGATCACCAGATAGCTATTTCTTACTGCCATTTTCAAAAGACTGCTTTTTTGGTTGCTAAAGAAAAATCACACACACATACTCATATTTTTTTGAATGCATGTGCATACAGCAAGAGTTGAGGCCAAGTCATGTACCATTTTGGGGTACCGCCATTATCCTGAAGAATGATGTAAAATTACATACAGGCCACACAAAAAACTACTGGGTTTAATGGGATATAGATCTATAGCTGCACATGTGTATCTATATCCACCTGTGTGTATGTATTATATCATGCTAATCTTGGAAAGAAAGCAATCATTTTAAAACTTATACATAAGACCATATTCTTTAATAAAATGTATAAAGTGCACACCTAAACATCTAAGTATGCACTTCTAGGAAGAACAGACTAATGGTGACATCTGGGTGTTAGGACAGAGACAGATCTACTGTTTTAGAAAGTTTCACACAGCAGCTGTGACTGAGCTGTGAGTCACGTAAGTCTAAGTCCAGCTAGGAAACAGAAGCGTTGGTGGGGAAGCAGGACGTGATAAACGGACTGAAAATTCATCTAGTCCTGAGAGAATGAAACGCCCGTGTAGCCGCTGCTGCGGCAGAGTGCTGAGTGCGAGGCGGCTGCAGAACCCAACAGCCCCGCAGGGGGCCCCACGGAAGCTCCCTCCCAGAGACTGCCCCTCTCTCTCTCCCGTTTCTGAATTACATTCTACAGAGAAAAAGGAAAGATACCTTTTAAAGTTTAACCCATTGCTTTTCACTTGGGAAACTAGAATGTTACAGAATCTTTTGATGTAACTTATAATTATGGTAGAAAAACATCAATAGAACCTATTTACCCATCTCAAGGGGCGAGCAAAGAAAACTACAGTTGACCTTGAACAGCATAGGGGTTAGGGGATCCGACCACGATGCCGTTGAAAATCATTGTATAACTTCTGACTCCCCCAAAGCTTAATTCACTACTAATAGTCTACTGTTATTACAAGCCTTAGTGAACACATATGAAGAGTTACCTAATGCATATTTTGTGTTATATGTGTTATAGACTGTAACCTTATAATAAACTAGAGAAAAGAAAATATTATTAAGGAAGTCATAAGGAAGAGAAAATACATTTACAGTATTGTACGTATTTATTGAAAAAAATCCACATAAAAGTGGACCTGTGCAGTTCGAACTGTGTTGGTCAAGGGTCAACTGTATTTTACTAGTAACTTTGTATATATATGTTATACCCCTCTTCTCCCTGCCTTTCCTCTTACCTGCTCTGTGCCCACCCAGTCCCTGCAGTGTTCAAATGGTTATTCGCTAGTTAGAATTAAGGTTACCTGAGTAATGCTGTACCAGCTGCTGAAGTGTTTCAAACTGGGCCCGGGTGGTAATATAGTATCCACCATTGTCAAGTTTGCGAATTTTATAATGTTTGACATGGTCTCCTTTCATATCATCCCAATCACGTATAGAAAGTGAATAGGCACCTGGTAAACATGCAAAATATTAGCAGCTCCAATCATTTTTGAGTACTCCTTTGTTATTTAGGTCTCATTTACTTTACTGTTCCGATTAATAATTATCAAGAGGAGACACACACATACACTCACACACATGCATACACACATTTCCACTTAGTAACATAGGAAGAAAACACTTCTTTCCTGAGAATGTCAGGAAATATTAGCAATAAAATGACTGTACCCTTGAGAATAAAGGCTGCTTGAATTTTTTCCTACAATCCTCCCTTTCCCCCATTTTCCTTGCTTCCCCCGGGAAGATGAAGAGCAGCACAGCTTCCAGGCTGCGATTGCTTCCCCGGTCTCCACTACCCATGGAGCATCGTGGAGGCTGGGATAGTGTGTAACAAGGAAACGTAGGGACTCTTTCTCTAGAAATGAGCTTCCAATTTCTGCTTCGCAATATTTTTCACAGGAGCAGATGACCAGTGTCTGGTAGACCAAACTAGAAGGCCGCTGCTCTTTTCCTTGGCCCCGCTCCGCCTGTGGGCTCTAATGACATGTTAAATCATGGAAAGGCCAACAGATGGAGGAAGAGCAGTCCTTAGTGATGAAAAAAACAAAAGAAATGCAAAAACAACTTGTATATTTGGTACTCGAGGAACTAAGCATTTCAGAAATTCCTAATTCTAAATGACGTGTGAAAATTCTGTGACCTTGCACACCTGAAGGAGTGAGGCTGCCCCAGGCCCTGTTACAAGAGGAAGGTCTAGATTTTGGGCCTCGGTGGTCTTTTTGGAGCTGTCTGTAGCAGCGGCATCCAACCTTTTGGTGTCTCTGGGTCACAGTGGAAGAAGTGCTGTCTTGGGCCACACATTAAATACACTGTGACATGTAATCATACACAAAAAAGTCCCGTAATGTTTTAAGTAAATTTACGATTTTGCGTTGGGCCGCAGTCACAGCCATCCTGCGCCACGGGCTGGCCGCAAGTTGACACCGCTGTGCCTGGGGGAAAAGCCGAAAATAGGGCTCCCTCCAGAGGCAGGGAGGCTATGTGCCATTTAAAAATCCTGGTTCACTGGAGATAAGGCTTTCTTCTCTTCTAACTAATCCACAGATTTGAATGACAAGTGAACTTCTTCAGCTTGTTATCTTACCTTTGGTGGTTTCACTCTCACGGATAAGAAAGGTACCTCTTGGGTTTCCAAAGGACAAAAGCTGTCGTTCAGCATCTTTTCGGCCAAGTTTTCCAAAGTACCACCTACAAATGAGATAAAGAAACATTTTATAACAATCATTTACAAAAATGGATTCATGCAAGCTCTTTTGCCCATGAACCTTAACCTTCGATTTCATCCTTAGCCTTTCCCTATCTATTAATATCTTCTTCCTAGCTTCACCTAGTTCCCTTTCAATCTATTCCTAATTCCACACCTAATCCATCTCTTTCACTCTTTAAAAAACAATTAGATTTGAATTGTGGGTTATTTTCCTTCCCTCCAGAGATGACAAGAACTGGTTTGTGTTAAAACTGCCACCTGCCTACACAAAAAGAGAAATCCAAGACCTTGTTGGAAATGGTAACCACAGGACACCCTTTCCACACACATCTACAGCACCATGGATTTCTGAACATAATTACAATCCCTGGGATATAACAAAACACAGTCTCAGTGCAGATAAAGGTCATTAATCAGGCATTAAAAAAAAAAATCAGAATGGATAAAGAACAAAGACACAATACTTTCAGTTATTTCCTACCCATAGGAACTCCGAAAAATGGTCAAGACTACCCCTAATTTGCGACGAGTGCTGCCCTCGGATGCTGTCTGTATTGCCTTCCTGTCCGTCAGGACGCCGATGAGTAGCCGGCGTTTGCCAAGCATCTGGCCTGGGATCTGCCGCGCAGGTGCTCTGGCACAGCTGCAGGGCCAGGTGACTGTGCATAGTCGATGAGCACGTCCTTGAAAACAACACGGTGTCATGGGCGTGTTCATATTCTTTTTGTGATGACACTCCTGTGCCACTTCAGAAGAATCACATCAAGCCACTTCACGACCTTTGTCATTTGTCTTTTATCTCCCCCCCGCACTATTTAGCCCTAGTCAACGGCAGAGCGATCAGTTAACGCTTCAGTACTAGGTGCTGAACAAGCAGCAGGTGCTCCAAGAACCCAAGGGAGAATTCGGAAGCATTCCATTGGAATCTGCATAAGGGAACAATTTTTAGGATATTTAACTGTGAAAGGACCCAGTTTCTAAAATGAAATTTCAATTCATTATACTTGAACATAGCTATTATATGTTCAATGTCAAATTCTTTTGTGAATGAAAGAGCTTCACTGAAGATAAGAAAAGACACGCTGCGTGTTAGCTCCTCAGTGACTTTTAAAGGCACCAGACTGTGCAACAATTCTAACCTAGCACTAGACGGTATGAAAAGAATTATACCAATTATTTGTGAGAAATGACTTTGTGGGTTTGTGTCAATTAAAATGCAGCACAAACACGAACGTGGTGAAAAGAGAACAGTTCAAACAATGGATTGCACTAAAACAATAGAATTTAAAAATAATGGTAAGTAATTGCATATGTAAAACCACAGCATTATTTATAAATGTTATTTCTTTAAAAACAAAATATTAAAAATATTGACCATTATAAAAAGAATTTAAATATATAGTGGGTAGGTTCTCAGTTAAATTAAAAAAAGGCTACATTTTCGTGCTGCCTTTTCTGCTGAAAGAACAGAAAGATGTCTGCCGATCTGGCCTAAAATAAAAATTCAGTACAAATTCCTTTGTTCACTGGTGATGAGACACACTCACTAGGAGAAAAAAGGAGCTCAGAACCACTGAGTATTTGAGAGTGGGAAACAAAACAGGTCTCCTCAGAGGAAATACAAAGGAATTAAAGACAAGAGAACGATCCAGTTGGGGATTTGACTGAGGTGTGGAGTCTAATCTTCCTTGAAGCTTAAACAAATCCAGGGCAAAATTAAATATCAGAGCCAAAGGTTGGGCTGACTTTTCTCCTAAGGCAGGACGGCCTCCACTGAGCAGGTGAGGTGGGTCCCCAAGGTGTCGGGGAGAAGGCCAGGTTCCTGCCTTTGGGAGATCCAGGCCCAGTTCCCTTCCCCTCAGTTTAGAAATGAGGGTCACCACACAAGCCAGCAACAGTTCTCCATGCTGGAAGTGCCCGTGAATCCCCACAGGCCAGGAGACAGAACAATAGTTGATCTTTCTAGAATGCTCCCAGCCTGAGGCCCACGTCCAAAACTCTTAGCAGTGAAATCCTTGGGTTAACTAACTGCTGGTCACTCTTTATTATCAAAGAAACCAACAGAGGCCCCAAATCAAAGGGAAGGACTATTTGAAAAACATCACCACAGGATTTATCAAGTTTTAGGACACAACCTACATGAGATAGTTCTGTCTGAGGCACGGAAGGTACATCTTTTCAGTGCTTCTGATTAGATTGAAAGAAACATCTCAATTTGATCTTTAACAATTATTTGCCAACTCCTCCCCCTCTTTCCCTCTCTCCTCTCCTCCTACTCTTTCTCTCAAATTTCCTTTGTTTTCTGTTTTTTTTCAGTGGACTGTAGGGTTGGCAATAATATATGATGTAGCTAGGGTTTCATCACATTTTTATGATTATTTTCTACCCATGGCAAGTAATATTGGGTTTTCATTTAAGTCACTGATACAAACTTTCCCTTCAAAATAAATAGGTTTTAAAAAGTGAGTAAGCCTTAAGAAAAATAGTCAATACCAGTAGCGGCATGACATAGGTATGGCAAAATACAATGGCATAAGGTCTGGGAAACACGGCATTATCATAGTTTCTCAATCCTTTGTCACTCTAGTGAATGTCTTCTCCCTCCTGCACAACGTTAATGGCATTTTATTGTGCCAAATAACTTTTAAAAGCAGGTAGTTAAGTGAAAACAAAATAAAACATACTCTTCTGCCTGGATAGAGTCAACTGGTGCCACATAATTGCTGGGAATGTAACCCGTCTCTCCGGTTGTCAAGGAGCGGGCTTCCCACCAATCTCCTTCCCTGCAGAGAAAAAAGAGAAAAAGAAGTGAATACAACGACCATTTCCATGTTTTGCAGTTATAGTCTCAATGCTGTAAGAGTGTATGACTATCTCCTAGTCATTCTACCACCTGACTTCTCTAAACTGCAGCATTGCTCTCTGTGAGGTTCAAAGGGTCCACTGTGAGTTGAATCCAGCATTGTCTCTCATCTCGGGCCTTAATTGTGAATTAAGAATGTAAGGTCCTGGCCAGGAGAGGCTTTCTGAGTGGGGGGTGCGTTTTGCTTGGTAAGTGTCCCCGACTTGGACAGAGGGGAAGGGAACCCAGCCCCAGGCTATTTAAGAAAAACACTGACACTGAAATAACAATGACAACAAAATGTTAATGACGAGAGGTGAAGGATGTGTTAACTAACCTTGTTATGGTAAACATTTCACAGTATATACATATTAACCCATTACATTGTGCACCTTAAACTTACATAATAGTATGTCAATTTTATCTCAATAAAGCTGGAGAAAAGTAAAGCACACATTAATAGTGCTAATTTAACCAACAGTTTCTATTTCATCTCCTACCTGGAGGCAACCAGAATCCTTTGGGACCGCTGGAGAGATGCAAGCTGTTGGCTTTAGTGCCATCTTGCCAGCCATTAAATGATTCATCAGAAAAAGAAAAAAAAAAAAACAACCCCAACATTATAACTGCAGAGCATCTAAGAGAGGAAGCCTGTTAGGAGGCCCCGTAAGGGATGAAATCACATTCTGAATACTTGCCTTGCTTCCTCTGAAGAAAATGGGTAGAATAATGACACAGTAGGGTAAGCCTTGCTCAGACATGTTCAGCCTGTGGTTATTTCATTGTCTATTTATAGCGATGCCCGGAGTCTAGTGAGGGGAGAGGAGGCTGGGTGTAGCTGTGTGGGTACAAGTGCAGGGGAGGACCCCCACTAGTGGGATCCCTAGTCACACTGCTTTGTACAGATGCGATAGTCTGGTCTCAATCTGTAGAGTCCTCAGAGCTGTGGGCCGAAAGACATGAAAGGGGGCGCTTATAACGCCACTCTTAGCTTAAATCAGGTGGGTAAATTGAATGGGTAGAGTTCACGTGTTCAGACCCGCATCACTGTGTGTGGCAGAGAACAGGGATGCAGGGTGTGCCCCTCCCTATCGATGTGGTTAGCAGATGTACGTGTGGCTGTCGCTGCGACACCAGCGCTGTCCACAGCACCTCGGCCAGCCTGTAGTCAGGTGTGTGAGGGGCAGGGAAAGGTGTGAATGTCTGAGAGACCAGAGCTGAAATACCTACCGTACCTAGTCACCAGAGGCCCAGTGCTTTCTGTCCTCCTTCTTTTGGTCCTTGGAGTTAGCAAGAGAAGCCCCAGGCCTTTCTTAAGATCACTTTTTTGACTGGGCTCTGTCAAAGCCCTCAGTGATGGAAGAAAATGTGTTTGCTTTTGGCCCTGGTCAAGATCTTCCCCAGACTCATTTAATTAGGTAGAGAATAACCAGCCTCCACATTAAACACAAGCTTTACTCAAGAGTCCTATTCACTAAAGACTGAATCTGAGCAAGGTGATCGATGAACAACTCCAGGCAGGATTTAATAAAGCCACAGACAAATGGTGACAAGCCCACATGTGTCAGAGGTGCGGTTGTGGGAAGTGTTCGCTGGCCCAAGTAACACGGAGTAGCCCACAGGAAAACAGGGTGATGGCAAAGGTTTTTAAAATATATTTGTTATAATTACTATTTCAAGCCTTTCCTTTCTTACCCCATCAAACAAATTTAAACAGAAAAAAATCCGTCAAAGAGAGAAATAATTGTTCTCATACCCAGAATGTCCTCTAATAACCTTGCATTTAGTTTATGTCCAGGCTTTGTTATAAAATAATTTATATATACAAATAATAGATGTACAAGGGGGACCACCCCAAAACCCCCCTGGAATTATCTTCTGGAGGGCAGGCTCCTTGCAGTACAGGCTTCCCCCACTAGGTGAGGGAGGGCTCTAGGAACCCATTTGTACCAGTGCACCAACTGGCCTTGTTGGGAGAGGCTGCATTTGGCCTCAGCGAATTTTCTTTGAAGACCGTTTCAGCGTGTTTGTCTATTTCATGACGGGTGACTTACAAGCACACCTGTCCACACCGCACTCAGTGTTCAGCAGTTTTTGACCCAAACCCCGTGCCCCACCCTCCCTATTCCCTTGATTTCTCTGCCCTTGCCCAAGTGACTTTTTTTTTTGTTTCCCTGGATGAAAAAAGTCCTCAAAGGGAAATGTTTTACTGATATGGAAGAGGTGAAACAAAAAATGGCAGAAGCACTAAATGCGACAAAATTAATGAGTTCAAAAACTGTTTTGAGAAGTGGAAAAAACATCTTGATGGGTGTATTGCATCAAATGGAGAGTACTTTGAAAATGACTTAAGTTTAAACATGTAAGAATAAACATAACTTTTTATAAATAAATTTCAGGTGTTTTGGGTTTCCCCTCGTAGAGAGGAACACCTGTAACCCACCACCCAACTTAAGAGCTAGGTCATTGTCAATTGTGCGGAAGCTACCCTGTGCTTCTTCCCTTTTGCATCCCTTTGCCTTTCAGGTTCAAATCATGAAATTAAAACTGTCAACATTGTAACAGTTTGTGCTGCTTTAATTTCTATGTCCTCCAAAAGAAATTTATGCAGCTGTAAGGATGTCATCTAAGAACATATGTGGAAATCAATTCTTTTTAGAACATTGCATGCATTGAAAGAAATGGCTTTGGAGACGTTGTCTTTAATACGGTGACGATGTTTCGTGCCCTGAAGTTCCACTAGATGGAGACATTTCATCATACAAAACAATACGTATCGGCTCCCTGCCTTCCCTCCTCTTCCCTCACACCCCACACCACCTGGAGAATGCTCCAAAATGGTGAGGGAAAAAATTAAGCGCTCGCAGCACAGGCTTATTTTTTAATGCAAGACAGCCCTCATCAAGTTAGTTCCAATTTATTTAAACTAAGAAAAATAAAGTACAGTACCAAATTTGGGGTATAGGTTATGCCCGCTGGGGCAGGAGCCAAATCGGTTTGCTGCAGGTTGGGACAAGCCCAGGCTTATTCAGGTTATCTGGTATTAATCAAGTAATTTCCATTTTGCATCCAGCATAAACTATCTCATTTTGGTCTGGGTACCTAAAGAGTTTAGCACAAATTAGAATCCAGCCATCAGCTCATTCTAAAGTTAGGAATTCCTGATTTTCTCCTGACTCCATTAATCTCATAAGGGTTTTCAGTTATTCATGAGAAAAATAAAAACCTTTTCTCTTTTTCTAGGCCATCTAGGGTCACTTTCTTTATCAAAGGAGATATGAGGTGACAAGGACACAGTGTATTAGGTAGTAAACTTCCTATGTTGGGCTCAGAGAGGCTGGGACAGACACTAGACGTCTAATTCACCTACAAATTAATAATACACTCTTTAGAAATCATTCACCTTGTTTTAGAAAAACAGTACCTATACTACCTTTTATCTCTTTACTTGAGTTATTGTGAACAATAAGCATTATTAAAGATACATGTATTTAGACTTCTTATAGTTCATATATTTCATAAATATAAGAGTTGGTGAGATTTTCTTTACTGTTATCTTGCTCTGATTCAAATATATGATTTAAGCCCTGGCTCTGAATAGCTTTTAAGTTTTCATAACAGCTTCCCCTGTCCTTCTAATTTAAAGACATTATAAGAGCCTAGGTCCAATCCCCGAAATTGCTTGTAGGGCTTGCGGTCTCAGGAGCTAGAAGCCCTGATGGCCCAGGAAGAGGCATTTACAAACGAAAGTCAGCTGTGGAGCAGTTTTATTATAAATGCTGGATTCTTTCTAAATTGGACACTACCCATCTTACTTTCAGAGAGCGTGAATGTTGGCGGGGGGGGGGGGCGCTAAACCAGGCCTTCTGGAAAGGAGTCACCACTCTAGGCGATGACCATTATTTCACTGCTTATAGATTCTGAAGAGTTGCTGTGTTTCTAGGTGGTATGTCACTCCTCATGAAATGGGAAAATAGGGAGTGAAACAGATGAATTAAAATATTTTGCAAGATGGGTTTAAGAATGTTTAAACAAGTTTAAAAATGTCCAGATATACTACACTGCATGTTTACAACAGGTCAGAGAAGGACCCCCCGCCCCCAGGCTGGGCAGCGGTGCCATTGGCTCTGGGCACACCTACACACACGCATCACATGGTTCATGCTGCACTTTAAAACACAAAAGCTGGCCCTGTGGCTTCCCATTTCTGCCTCCTGTCAGGCACAGGAGTGGGAGGACACACACTGGGAGGTGTGGCAGCTGCCCCGAGAGACAGAGCCCCATCCCTCCCACTTTCAGCTGAGGAGGAGCGGGGGGAGGAGGGGGAGGGGAAGGAGACACATGCCATCTGGTTGTGTTGCTGCTTTGTTTTTCCTTCATCATTTTGTCTTCCCTGTTATTACCCTTGATTTCAATATATTGTATTTATTTAAAAAAAACACCTTATTTTTTCCCCCATAACCTTGATAAAAGGCATTTACATGGCATGTAGAATGAGGAATTCCTCTGGCAAGAAGAAAGAACATTAAAGGGGAGGAAAAAAGCCCTTTGTAATATTTTCTTCTAACAGAACAGGGTCAGAGGCTCGCAGCCTTTTATAAACCTTAAAGGCCATGCATGCAAATAACAAAACATAGATTGAGAGAGATCAGATCTTCTTTGAATGTTTCTCTTAAATTTCAGTTGGATGCCATTATAGATTCTATCCATTTTAACAAAGGAAGTAATCATGCCTTTGACTTTGGCAAGGACTGGCTTCGCAGGTGCCCTACAACCTGGTGCGTAAATCCACTTGCACTGTAGAGAAAACCTACAGAAGAGCTGGCACTTCCTACCACTCCTGAGTTCTTACCTTTCAGAAGCTGGTTAAAAGTTCTAACCAACCTTGGCATTGAGAGAATATTACATGAAATGGGGAGGGAAAGTGCAGTGCATTTCAGAATTCAAAGTCAGCTGACTCTAACAAGAAGCATTCATCAGAGAATCAAACTGACAATACAGTTGGAAACAGAAGAGATCAAAGTCAAATTCCCTCCTCCCCCCCCCCCCCCCCCCGCGCTCCCAGCTAACCTTTCATCTGCATGTAACCTGAATGGTTCAGTCCCCTCTGATGGAGTCTCTCAGCCTCTCCAAGACAAAACCTGACACTGTACTTAGGATGCATCCCCACATGTCACACCCTTGGCTCTGCCACTTGCTAGTTCTTCCCGGCACCTGGGCAGCTTCTGAACCTGAGCCTCTGGCTCCTCCTGTGTCACACGATGACTATGAGACGCACCTCAGACAGTTGCTATGAAGAATAAATGAGCGCTGGCCTGGTGTAGCTCAGGGGACTGAGAGCCGGCCTGTGAACTGAAGGGTCGCTGGTTCAATTCCCAGTTTCTAGGGCATATGCCTGGGTGGCAGCCAGGACCCCAGTAGGGGGTGCTTGAGAGGCAACCACACATTAATGTTTCTCTCCCTCTCTTTCTCCCTCATTTCTCCTCTCTAAAAATCTTAAAAATAAAATAAAGACATTTGCAATTAAGCACATGGCTGGCACATAAGGAGTCTTTAATAAATGGCAGCTGTTTGCTGTTTTTAAGAAAATTCATAGAGCTTTTGGCCTCTGCAGGATGTGGAGGGAGTGGCTGGGACAGAAGACAGTACCTCGGTCCCCGCCATTTCCCATGAGGACTTTGTGTGCTGCAGCGCTAGGTGGGCCATGCTTGGAGCAGGTGGAACTGTGTGGCAGCTTTGTGCAACAGCCTGGGGACATGCTGCCAGAGGAAATTCGGGAGCCTGCGCTGATAGATGCACAGTGGACTTTTGAATTGGCTGTGCAAGAGAATGTCAGCACTAAAGGGCAGGCATGGCAAGAAGCTTCAGATAATTGTTTTATGGATTCTAGTATCAAAGAACTTGAAGATCAGTTTGATGAAATCATAGCAAATTGAGCTACAAAAATGTAAGCTGTATCCTGGAAATATCCTTGAGTATGTCATAAAAATCATAAAAGCAAAACAAGAAATTCTGGAACAGTACCATCCTGTCGTATACCCATTGGACCTAAAATATGACCCTGATCCAGCCTCTCGTGTGGAAAATTTGAAATGCAGAGGAGAAACAACAGCTAAGGAGATCAGTGAAGCCATGAAGGCAAATCATCAAGGAGTCAGATTCCTGGCAATGTGAAGAGCATTTACTGAAGCAGGTGGTTCGGAGAGAGCGTGGTGTGCTAGAGGACTACCAGCTAAGTCTTCACACACGGGCCTTGTCTAAAAGGGACTTGCTACAGGTGAGCCTGAAGAGATGGGCAGGTCAACCCTTGAGAACTTTGCACTTAGAAGTGCTGATGAGGAGCTATTAACTTCCACAAAGGAGGGAAAGGAAGAAGAAATTCATTGAATCCATTTTCATCCTACCAAAATTGAAGATATGTCTACTCAACAACTTGTACGTGAATGTTTGTAGCAGCAACCCAAATGCCCATTGACTGAGGAGTGAATAAATAAAATGTGATATAGCCAATTAAAAAAATTCCTGTGGCTATAAGAGGAGGCTGCCTGGGGGGCGGGTCATGTTCTTCTCGATCCGGGTGCTGGCTGCAAAGACATGTTCAGTCTGTGAAAATTTAGCAAACTGTACACTTTTAAAAAACTGTGGTAAGTTATGCCTAACATAAAACTTATTTTAACCATTATCAAGTGTACAGTTAAGTGGCATTAAGCAATTTAATTGTGGTACAACGGCCACTGTGCACATTTTTGATACATGTACTTTTTTGCATGCATGTAAATAAAAAGTAAAAAAAAAGAACACCTTACCCATACCCCTCTTAATGATGACAACAAAAACAATTAAAAAACCCCCAGAACCCCTGCCACCTACTAGCTCATGACTACAGGCTGGCTCCTACATAGACGTGATTTCTGATGTCCAGAAGAGTTACTGTACTCTCCTGGGAGGAATTCTGTTCCGGCTGTTGGAAGGCGGCACAATCTCAACGTTTGGTTCTGAGAGATGGTGGCATCACAGGGAAACGGAGGGCTTTCCAAAGAACCAGTTCTCAGGGCCTGAGGGAGTTCCTCGTTCCAGTGACCACACTTCCTTCCTAGGACCTGCATGTGTGAGCACCACTGCTTAGCTCCTACCCACACGTTCCTTGGAAAGCCAAGGGCCGGTGGTCAGGTCCTTCCGCTGCCATGAAATCCAGTTTGCTCAGGGAGCAGAGGGCCGAATAGCTAGACCTAGAGGCACAGGACAACCTCCCAGGTGGGACCTCCGCCTCCAGTGGCACTCCTTCCCAACCACTTGGGAGCGCTCAGGGGGAAAGGAAGGAAGGAAGGAAGCCTGGCCGACGTGGGCCAATGCATTTTCTTTAGTGCCTGGATTTTTCTGGAGGGCCTTAATGGAGCAGAAGCAATATTTTAAAACTACAGGGAAACCTGACCTATATTTACTCTTCCTAATGGAGGTATTAAATGTAGTATTTGAAGAGTGAGTGATTCTCATCCTTGAAATTTCCCCAGTGCCTGTTTAATTGTTGTTCCTACCGGTCGCATTTAAAATGTACGCATTGTAGTCACTCACGAGTGGGCGAAATCACTTCTCCTTCCATCTCACAAAGATTTCAGTCACTTGCAAATTTTCGTTATGGGGTAACGCCTCCACAGGCTTCACCAAATTGGAATGTTTAGCAGTTTTGAAAACAGAAGGAACTTGTTGCTAGCCTTAAGTGAGGGCTTAGCAAGAGCACCATCTGAAACGTGAAGAAAATCGCCAGGCAAAGAGAAGATGACGCAGATAGTCCAGCCTCGCACCAGTCGTCTGAAAATGTGGATTTGCAGAGACTGATGCTGGTGTTTTTACAACCTTTAAGCCAAAACCAAAACCATTGACTCAGCTACTATGGTACCCCCCAAAAACCCTTGTCATAACATACTGCCCTGGTTCACCGACTCTTCAATTCTCAAGTTAAAGTCGTGTGAATTAATGAGTTAAACAAGGGTTCTTTCAGCATTTCAGATACCTGAAAAGGGACAGACTGGCAACAAGGATTTTTTTCCCAATCTGAAAGGCATGAAAGCTTCCCCTTCCCTCTCCAAACTTACGAGCTGTTCAAGATTTGAAATTTCTCTCCTTTGTGAAAACTCAGGTCATCTTCTGTCCGTGCTTCATAATCATAAAGGGCCACAAACAGGGTCACTCCTGACAAAATGAATCAAAAAGGGAAAGATATTATACAAGAAGAAATTAATTACAAGAAATTAAATCTTCTCTAAAACCTCATTCTCAAAATCTAAAGCTAATCAGCATAGATAACATGATGCGGCCTTGTAATTAATGTGTGAAACCGGGAGTCACCGGGATGAGAGTCACCGGGATGAATTCATGTCTTCGTCTTTGATTTGACTAAAATCTGGAGTTGAAGGACTTTTCTCTGTACACTTTTGAATGAATCCTTGGGAAGAGACAGATGTTAATATCATGTCCACAATGAAGGGGCGGCAGCAGAGTAATAGCTTAGATTCGCCAAGCTCTGCAGCAACCACTGACACTTTGCATCTGAAACTCAGGAGCCCACGTTAGGTTCTGGGTAAAATGCATCACGCTTTCCTCTGGCATAAGAGTAATATAGAGTGTGGTAGGAAAAGCCGGCAGCTGGGGGCTCTTCTGAGAAGGCCCTCTCTGTTCACTCAATTAAAGGATGTCTTGCCCTTTGCATCTGCAATTGCTTTTGTGACTCCCTCTCCCTCACTTTCTTTCTACCTTGAAGTCACCTATTCTCACACTGACTTGTAGTACTTGCTCTTCCTCATACCCATCCTATCTCTTCTCATCGGGTTGACTCCTCACACAAGCCCTTCCTGCTTTGCAGAGGTTTCCTATGGAGAGCAAAAATGCCCAGTGTCCTATTTGGCCTAGGACTTCCTCCACGTGGCAGGCAGAATTCTGAGACAGCCTCAGTGATTCCCGCCTCCTGGTATTCATGCCCTTGTGCAATCCCCTCCCTTCAGTGTGGGCGAGCCTAGTGATTTGCTTCTAACCAAAAGAACGTGGCAAAGGTGATGGGATGTCCCCTAAGTGATTAGGCTTGAAATGATTGTGACTTCTGCCTTCCTAGCAGACTCAAATACTTTCATGAAGCAAACTGCCATGTCGGAGAGGCCCACATGACAAAAAACTGTGGGTGGCCTTTGGCCAACAGCCAGTGAGGAATTTAATCCTGTCAACGCCATGAGCTTGGCAGCAGATGTGTCTCAGCTGGACGGTGAGATGGTTATAGCACAGCCAACACACCTGGACTGTAGCCTGTGAGAGATTCTGTGTAGGTAGTTCCAAGGGAACAGACGTGCCCGTGGGAGTATTCAAGGACCGGGGCCGGGGGTGGGGGGTGGTGGGGAGGCAGGGCTCGTCTTCCTACCCCATCCCAGGTGGGACTTCCCGCAGGAGAGCTGGCGTTCAGAAGGTCTGACCCTGCAAAGCAGGGCTCATTGGGCAACTGTCCTCCTTTCTTTAGATGTCTTTAAAAGTTTAGAAAAGAGGCTGGCTAAAAACAAAAAAAGTGGGAACCTGTAAAGTCATGCCTATTCTTTATTCTCATTTAACACTCTATTAACAGATTTCTTTGATTACATAATTTAAAAACAAACCCCAGCTGCACTGTGTGGAAGACAAGGCACATGAGGAGGGACACTTCCACTCTCCCTCCATCAGCCAGCAAATTCCCATTGGGTGTTTTTATCTTCTAGAGAGGGAAGAAAAAGTCATAGGAGGTCACGGCGACACACAGACACTGTTCCTGGCCTTAAGACACTGAAACCAGTGACAGGGAAAAAGATGTGCATTTATAATAAAGTCAGGTAACACAAGGCAAAAAGATCTGCCAATGTTAGAGGGTACTGTGTTTTATTTTTCAAATGTACAAGGGGCCAGATGGCCTCTCATAGTAAGATCGTCCCTGACTACAGTTATAGACCCACATGTTCAAGGCAAGTAGCTTATGACCCTGTGTAGTGACACCTGCAGACACAGGGATTAATATCCAGCATTGATGAATGAATGAACAAGGTGAATGCCTGTGTCAGCAGAATTTCAATTCTGCCTGGCAAAGCATTCAGTAGGCACAGGAAATGTATACTGGGTACAGTGTTGGCTCTCTTTTTTCTCCTGCATCCTCAAGAGACGTCCCTAGACAGGACAACAGCCTCTTTTCTTCCTCTCTCCATTCTAGATGCCTTCCAGGAAGGCAGGAAGGATAAACATGGTATGTGTACCTAGCATTCATTCACCCGTGCAAGGCTTGCTTTAAAGGGAAAGCTATATTCACCATAACACAAGGACATAACGTCCAACGCTCTGAGTCAGGCACCCTAGTGTACTAGGGTAAGTACACTGCCCTGGTATGTGCAGTGGGAAGAAAACCCCTGGTGATGTCTTAGTAGCACCAGCTCCCAGGTAAAAAGGCACAGCAGGTCTTTATATAAGACATCGGCTCCCAGATGAGCTGAGAGCACAAGGGCTGATGCATATTGCCTTCAACTTTTGCAATGAACAAAACAATTTTGGAACAAATAATGTCAAATATCTAGTTACCACGATTCACATACTGGGAGAAGATTTGGAAGACTAAGGATGTATGAGATAACTTGCAAATGTTTCAGAAAACATTATGTCTATGAATGTATGCCAGACATTTTACAAAGGATTAGCTAAGTCAGCAAATGTACATGGCAGTAAAACATAGCCCACGGTGGGAAAGAGAAGGAAGCTTTAAAAAAAAGAAAAGAAAAGAAAAAGGTCCCTTAAGGATACCATTTTTCCTTAAGATTCCATTTTAAAATACAAAAGATAAGTGAAAATACTTGAGGGCTGATAAACTCAGTCATACGGAAGATAATGTGAAGCTCAGAGAGAATCAAAGATGACGAGTGGCCAAAAAATAATGCTGCCAAATGACCCCACTAGCCGGGCAGTGACAGGCTGGCTGAAGATTAGGAAGATAAAGGAGAAGGGGCTATCCCTAGCTTTGAACCAGGGAATAGCAGTGCATTCATATTTGGAAAACTCAAATATATGCTCTCTCAGATCCAGTCCCGGAGCTTCTGATTGGAAAGGTCCGCAATGGGGATCAGGCATCTGCGTTTGGAAAAGCTGCCCGAGCTGGGCTGAGAGCCCTGGCCTCAAGAGCATCGTCAGGAGAGTCATGTCTCACAGCCCACGCAGAACTCTCATGAGGCAGCAATGTGGGGTCCCCACACCACGGCCACCAGCATTTTGACGTGCACATGAAGCTCTGGCTTGTTTTTTTTTCCTACAGCCCTTAACCTGGTAGAATGTGTTATAAGTGGAAACTGATGAAAAACTTTAAATATTAAGTCCTTAGTCAAAACGAGCTGGAGCATAAATGTTCAACTGCAAAAAAAAAAAAAAAAAAAAAAAAAAAAAAAATTAAGAGTAGCTGCTTCCTCCCCACCTCGGCCCTCCACCACCACTGGGACTTACCTGTTCCTCCTCTCGTCCGCAAGGTCCCAGTATGAGACGAAGAGTTCACACCCCCAAAGACGGTGAGTCCTTGGCCTCCGGCTGCGTGGAAGTTGTTGTAGTTCGGGATGGAGGTCACGCCGAAGCTGGGATAGTGCTGAGGAGTGGGGTCTGTGCCATAGCGGTACCCGGAGCTCTGGTTCAGGCTGCCATCCCTCTCCTCTGTCAGTTTTGTTGCTTCTTTATCCTTACATTGCACACAGCCCATTATCTAAATTCCTGCCGAAAACATAAAGGAGGCACGTGAACTTGGATGCACCTTAGTTGCCGGGTGCTTGACTATTTCCAACGGCGCATTCTTGATGCTTGCTCTTGGGTATTTCAGGCCTGTTAGGGGCGTGATAAAAAACAATGGCTAGCGTTGATGGTTAGAGGCAAGCTCAGTGCCTTTAACTTGACAATTGCACTTGCTCTCCCTATGCTCTGAGCGATGGAATCAACACAGAATTGATGTTCACCACATAGCAATTTTTCTCAAATTACGTCTGCACCCCTTAAAATTCTGTGATACCACACACCTGCCCGAAGACAGACCAGTAATACTTATTATGTTTTTCTTTAGTCATCTCAAAAATAACATATGACTTAGAAAATGAGTCTACATAATATTAGAATAAAAGCTTCCATCACGACAAAGGAAAATTAAGAAGAGGGTAGAGGTGTGCTGGAAAAGCAAGAAAACAGCCCCGAAATGACTCACCGTACTTCTTCACTCATGAGTACCCATTCTTTGGGGCTTATTAGGTTAAAGTTAAGAAATAAGATAATGATAAGGCCCCTGGCCAGGCAACTCCGGTAGTTAGAGCATTGTTCTGATACACTCCAATGTTGAGGGTTCAATCCCCAGTCAGGGTACATACAAGAATCAACCAATGAATGCATCAATAAGTGGAACAACAACAAAAAATCTGTCTCTCTCTCTCTCTCTCTCTTTCTTTCTCTAAAACTAATAAATAAAAATAAAAAAGATATTTATAAGTATCAAGAAGAAATAGTTGCTGGATGAAAAATTAAATTGGCAGAAACTGAGAGGTCGAAGTATATTTGCAGGATGTCATGATGACCGCAAAATCATTGAAAGCTGCTACTCAACTCTTTACATTTTCATTAGCTTTTGACATCTTTCATAAAAAAAAAAAAAAAAATCACTCCCATGTCCTAGAGGTAGTGGTAGATTAAAAACTTGAGTCCTTGCCACCTCTCCCTCCTCCAAACCTACTTCTCCTGAGCTCCTTATTTCAGTAAATGGTGTCACTTATGACCCAGTTGCTCAAGTGAGAATCCTAAGAAGCATCATTAGTTGTTTTTTCTTGTTTATTTCTCACTCTTCCTGTCTCACATTCTACTACCCAAACACGGTGAACTTCTCAGTTCCTCAATGGTTCCAATTTTGTCATCTCCTTCAGGCCTTGAACACGCTTTCCCTCTCCTCTTTGTTATGCAACATATGTTTCATATCCTGGTTAAGACACTGCTTCCTCTGCGAAGCCTTCTCTGATTCGCCACCCTCCCCAGGCTGGGGCGGCACTCTTCTCCACTGCTCCCAAGGATCTCGGTTTTCCTCATATTGGCACCTATTGCACCGCATTAAACAAAACCAAACAAAACATGGCTTGTCCACTTGTTTCACTGAGTAACTGACTGAGTTCCAGGAAAGGAGCGCCCTGTCCACTTTTGTCATAGCTGTATTGTCAGTGCCTGGCACATAGTAGGTCTCAATAAAGAGCAATCAAATGAGGGAAGGTTCTCTAGCCCACTATGTTTCTCTTTCACCCTTTCTTTCTCTTTGCATCAAGACCAACCCTTCCTCCAGTGCCTTTTAACAACAGTTTGCCCTGTACTTTTGAATCTATTGGTGTGTATGAAAAATGAAGATTGTTAAAAATACAAGGTAAGTTGGTTAAATGACCCCTCTGTGGACTGCAATACCCTTGTCAAACTGACAGCAGGGAGGTAGAACTTGCAATGGATGTCCTTAGCAAAACTCTGAAAAGTGGCCCACTTGGGACCAAAGAACCAAATAAGAAACACATGACATCATGCGTAATTACATGTATTCATTGGGGAGGGCACAGCTTGCTCAGGATGGGAACGGACTTGAGGCAGTGAAGGAGAACGAAAAACACAGTTTTCCTACAGTCTCTGGCAAACCAAAGTAGGGGAGGCCACGTCACGTATGGAGACTCTCGGAAGGGGCACTGTTCTGGGCACTGATTTTCTGCTGGGCAGGGTCATGGAAGCAATATCAGACTGTTCTACAGTCCTCTCACATTACACGGTTCAATAAATACTTATTGAATTGAATGTCAGTTCCCGAGAATAGAAATATTTGGAAATGAGCCGCCTACTGCTTGAGCTGAGATCACCAAATCTGGAACACATTTACTCATAAATCATTTGAGATTAATTTACAGTATACTGTGTCCAACATGCTCTCTAACTTACGGTAAATGAATATGAGTTTAACAAGTTTCCAATAGGAAATGCAAACTATTTCCAAGACATGATTTACTGAAGAAATTTCATCATTTGTTGCTGGTGTTGCTTCATAAGACTGAAAAATGTCTTGCTCACTTTATATGAACTCTTTCACGGTGGAAAGTTACTCCAACTTTCTACACAGGACAGACAGCAGACACTTTCTGCCCCAGGGCTTTTTTCAGGGATTTCACTGATGTGCTGTACTTAGAGGACGTGAGACCCAAATCACAGAACAACATCATTTACACCAGTGGGTCTCAGCCAGTATTGACCTTGCTCCCCTCACCAAGGGTCATTCTAGGCAATGCCTGGAGACATTTTTAGTTATCTCAGCTTGGGGAAAAGTGGTACTACTGGCACCTCATGGGTGGAGGCAAGGATGCTGCCAAACATTCCACAATGAGCAGGACAGCCTTCAACAACAAAGGACTACTGGGCTCCAAATGCTAATAGTGTCAAGGTCGAGAAATCCTGATTTGTGGAGAGGAAGGAATTTATGTCTGTATCTTTGAAACAGTGTAACAGCTGTTTCCCTTATATATATGTGATTAGCATGCAATCTAGACTGTCTTCCTCAGAAAACAGGCATGCTAGGTAAAAGGGGGCAATTTAAAAAATTGACAGGAAATGCTCTGATTTTTCTCTAGAAGGTTCTCCCTGTGATAGAGAAAAGAATCTAAAATGAATGAGAACTCTTAGTATAAATTACTCTTTCAACTCCAACGAAATAAAACAAGCCCCTATACAGAACCCCGCTGAAAATAGGATCCTACATCTAATCAAACTAAGAAAAAACAAATCTTTCAAAACCTACTAGGAAAAGTATTACCATTGTAATAAATGAATAACAGCTTACATATAAGTCTATGAAATAATGGAAAGAAATAAATAGTAAGCTGCTTGAAGACAGGGATTGCTTTTTGTTAAATTATTTTATCCCCAGTGTCCAGAACAGTGCCTGGCGTGCAGTAGGATCTCAATAAATATTTGTTAATTGTTTAAATGCAAAACACCAGAAAGAGAATTGGAGAAAACAATTCTCTTTTATAAAGGGACAGCTCTACTACCACTTCATGCATTTGGAATTTCGAGTAAGAAATGCTTCTGCACAGATCTTGCTTATTCTTTTCCCTTCCTTGACAAACATGAAGAAACCAAAATAAATCAGCAAATGCAGGCTCAAGCCATTAAAAGTTAATCACAATGAAAATATTTGTTTAAGAACTTGTGGTCTTCTTCCTCCCACTTGGGGTGGTCTGACTAATTATTTCCCAATGGAAGAGTCAGAAGATGCTATATGAGTTGTACTCCATGTGACTTTAGGCTCCTTGCCACAAGGCAAACTTCGCAGTGTTAAAATAAAAACATCCTTTATTATGCGAAGTTTTGTGGTGGGGCTTCTATGGACAAAGCTGTAGGTGCATCATGAACATACAATGCACTAACATACTTGTTCAAGATCTGTGGGGAGCTGGGAAACTCTGAATAATGCCATTGTGAAAGTGGGGCCCCAGAGTAACTCTGAGCAGTAAATCATACACCATGAACTCATGACCATCTTTCTCCGCATGCAGCTCTGCTTAGGAAAACTGATGGGTAAGCACTTTGACCAGCAGGATCCTGGGCCTGTGGTCAAGGTGTCTACATTATAGCTATGAAGCTCCCTATTTGCCAGTCCTGCAAACTGAGGGGCTCTGTTTCTGAAACCTGATTTACTTACAATGTCTTTAGTTTGCTGAAACTTCTGTGTGCCAACAGCATTATGCAATTCCAGGAGGAGTTGCCAAAGAGAGACTCTAAGGATCGCCACACCCTGCTCCCGTGAACATGGCAGATGTCATCAATTAATCACAGCACTTTCTGGTGCTATGCCATGTACAGCCCCATCGTCACATAGCCCTCGAGTGACTGACTAAAACTGTCATACAGGATCGACTCTCTCTGCCTCTTGGGGCAGAGGCTACTGATCCACAGAGAGTCTGGTGGAATGTACATCCCCGCCACTGATGCTAGAGACCGTGGTCCGGTCTGCCGGATGGCCATTAAACACAAATATGCTCATGTGTTCTCATATGCCAATCCATAAAGCATGGCTTGTATGCTCTGCTTATAGTGTTGCAGGGCTTTTGAGGGGATTTCAGGAGTGAGAGCTGGGTACCAGAAATGGAAAGAGGCCACTGGCAGTCTTCTGCAAAAGCAAATTACCTCCTCTTGAGACACAGAAGCTTGCAGGCAGAGGGGGGATGGCAGGAGGAGGAAAGGTGAAGTTGACAACAAATAACTTTAACTTCAGCAGTCTAAGCACTTTTTTTCTGAGAAACCAGCCTCGGTGCATGTGGAGAAGCGACAGCCCTTAGGCATTAAGGCGCCGTCCCTGCTCCTGACAGCCCGGACTTTGGAGAGTGACAGGAAAGCCGCATCAGCCTGTAATCTGATGTGGTGTGTTTCCTGGTGCTCTCATTCCCTATTCCTTTAGCTGGTCTCCACTTTATCTGGGCAGGCATCAAACTAAAAGGAAAAGGACAAGGAAGGGAACATAGAAACCAAACACAAGTAACCGAGGTGGGACATTTGGAAAAGAATTTAAACCTGAACTGTAGATCTACGACACAGTTTCATCCAGTTCTCTGTAAGGAAAGCAAAAACTGGCAGCTTAACAAGCAAACACCCCTTTTCAGTCAACAGGAACAACATGAGGCAAGAGGATAATAAGATGCAGCAGAGAGAGTCCGGATGGA